GAGCGGGACAGATGAACTGAGACATCACTGTGCCTAGAAGTTTCTAGAGCAACTTCCAGAATATCTAGAGCTCTCTATTACACGTTTATTGCATCGTTTCATAGCTAACGAAGTGGAGTTCCTGTGCGGCCATTTCATGACGATAAAATAAAAGGAGACGTTTTCTAGCATTCTTCTAAGATAAAAATTCAAGCACACTGATAAACCATGTAGTAGAGATAGTAAATGAGGTGTAGTTCCATGCTGTGTGTACATAAGTGTGTGTGGAAGTAGATTAAACTCAAGCGAGACAGGTCACTTGAGTCACTCCGTGGTCGAACGCTGTTCTCCGACTTCTCTAATTTACGGTGGAACTGCTTGTCTGCCAGCAGGAGGCGCTGTGAGAGCGGTGGAACTGCTTGTCTGCCAGCAGGAGGCGCTGTGAGAGCGGTGGAACTGCTTGTCTGCCAGCAGGAGGCGCTGTGAGAGCGGTGGAACTGCTTGTCTGCCAGCAGGAGGCGCTGTGAGAGCGGCGGAACTAACGGTTTCTCCAGTAATGGCTGTAAACAAAGCAGCTCCGCTCATGAACGCTACTTTATCAGATAAAAATGCCATCTAAACTTTTCTGAAGACAGTCGGTTCCCTTCAGAGATACATTCATATAAAACACCCGCGACGCGTTTTGATTTTGAAACGTGCAGTGCTCATGTTTATTCAACGAAGTCAAATGCCACAAATAAATCAATGTATGGGAAACACTGGTAATGTATATCGAAATATCGGAAATGTTTAAAAATCATATCACCGTTATTGAAAAAAATTATATCGCGATACATATTGAATTATTGTCCAGCCCTAATTAAACATAGCCGTTTCAGTATGTCCCTCCCTCTAGAATTAGTCCGAACGCTCAGTGCACTACAAACAGACAGTGTTTTTCCACAGCTAGTAGGTTAGCTAAGGTTGAGTGCCCTGTGCTATTTTGACTTTAGTGGTAGAGAGACAGCAAATTAACTTAGTGGATTGAGGGTTTAGGATTACCTCATCTGGTTATACGGTCTCAAGCATGAGCGAGTCGACAGGCAAGGAGAGACGCCTCAAAGCAAAGCAAGAGGTGGAGGAAACAGTCATACAAATGTAGCAATGTTTGATTGGGCTACTTTCTACTCTTTATGACATCACAACACTCCCAATCATGTCCAATGAGGAAGCTCCTTTAGTAGAAACATCTATTAAAAGAGACATCACAGGAGCTGCTGAAACAGTTCTACTCCACCATCATTGAATCCATCCTCTGCACTTCAATAACTGTCTGGTTCAGCTCAGCTACCAAATCTGACCTCAGAAGACTTCAGAGGGTAGTCCGGACTGCTGAGCGAATCATTGGTACAACCCTCCCTTCTCTCCAAGAACTGTACTCATCCAGAGTGAGCAAAAGGGCTGGCAGAATCACTCTGGACCCCTCACATCCAGCTCACTCCCTCTTTGAACTGTTGCCATCTGGTCGACGCTCCAGAGCTCTGAGCACCAGAACGACCAGACACAGGAACAGTTTCTTCCCTCAGGCCATCCATCTCATGAACACTTGACAATAACTGTGGAACACACACTATTTATTCACTCATACACTTATTTATCTAACACACACACTCAGTCTACATTTCAATTTGCACATAATATACCTGTACATACAACTGTCTATTGTTATATACCTGTACATACAATTGTCGATTTGTATATTTTTTATTCCTTATTTACTTGTTCTATTTTTTATTATCTGTGTTTTTGTTCTGTCACTGTCATTCTGTTACACTGTGGAGCTTCTGTCATGAAAACAAATTCCTTGTATGTGTAAACATACCTGATCATTACCTGAAACAATCATTCTGATCAGGATCATCTGAGGCAAGGGAAAGGTCAGGTGAAAAGTGTCAGCATATCAGGCCTGTAATCTATAGTTCACTTGCATAATTTAGCAGACTTTTTTTTTTTCTTTTTTAAGTCCCCATGAAATCAAAATTAAATTTTTTTGGGTGTTAGTATCAATATGTTAGTCTTAAGGTTATCTATAAGGCAGTGTGCTCCAAAACAGTGACAAAGCTTGCAGTTCGTCACTTCCGCCAAAACGACGCAATGATTTTTTTTGACGTCACATCGTACTTCATCTTCTCATCAAACTTTCTGTCCAATCAAATGCTCTCTAGAATCCGAAGTGCCCGCCCCCTACACTATAAAATAGACGCTGAAGCCGCGGCTGAAATCGGTCACTTGTCCACAGAATTAGTATTTTCTGTACAGTGAATGGCACGTAGTGCATTATATAGGGGACAGGGAACGATTCAAACAGTGTAAATATGCATTCCATTGAGGAAAAAAAGTCTGGTTTGGCGCTGTGTCACGCTAACCACCGCACCTCACACACACTCTGCTCCGGTCCAGAGACACGATAGCACGGAGCGGCTCACATGCGTGAGTCGGCGCAGACCACAAAATGTATCGTGGCTATTTGAATTCTACACAGAATGCTATATTTGATTGTGGCTGGCATACCGTGTCAAATGCGGCTTTACGGAGCTCAATGGCTCTAGCCCAAGCTGTGATATAAACGAACGCTATTGGCTATTTTAAAAAGGGGCGGGGCTGCTTGATATGTCCCGCCCTGTCTTCCTGTTTCAGTTCAAATGACGTCAACACAGAGTAACGCTGCATGTTTCTAAGCATTTCAGGGGACCTTTAAATTGAGCATAACAAAAGTTTGCATGAAATGAAAATCTATTTACTAAATGCATGCTATAGATTTGACTGTGAATAATTAATCCATACATACATTTTGTTTGTTAAAAGAGTTTTGAGCTCATAATTTTTAATCAAAATGTCATAACTGGATCTTCAGGTCAAAATGGCAGCAAACAGAACTTCTGCAATGCACCGGTTTAACAGATTCTGATGATGTGCTTCCAGAGTTATTAACATTGTAAATCTAGCAAACTTTTATATTTTCATTTTAAAAAATATAATGTACATTCCTAACCCTATACTTTGTTTTATTACCATTGCATTAAATTAGAGAAAACTAGTCAATGCTGCTGCGTGAGTGTTTCTATTACATCTGTCGAGGGAGTGACTACAATTTTGACATCTTTCACTCTTCTGACCAATACTCAGTATTTTTTTTCCCTCTTTTGGAAAGTCAAAGAAACACTATAGTGTTAAATTTTTATATAGTTTTATGGTAGTACGGTACTCTCAGCTCCACATGCTAATATCTATTCCGCTAATTTTCCACCTAAATCAATGCTGGAAATGTGAAAAACACCCTCTGATTTTGTCTGAGCCTGATTCTAAGGCACTACAGTGGGTTGTTTGAGCTCAGAGTCTTTAGACACAGTATAGAAATTAAAATGCAATGTAGACATGGTGTTGGTAGACTAGGCTAAATCTAGGTCTGTGAAGCCCTTGGAGCATGTAATGCTATGCTATGCATCCCAAGTATGCATACTTTTCTATCCTTTGAATTGAGTGCATTGAGAGTCTTCTTATAGGGTCATTTGCATTGATACACAGATATGCAGGCCGAGATTCTCTCATTGGCTGAGCTGATTAAACAAAGTGCTCATTCCAACTAGTGTCAGTTCCAAAATGTTATATTGTGTATCTCTTGTTTGCTATCATTAATTATACATATATTCTGCATTGTATCAGCCACACTGCTGATGATAGCAATTCGGTGTAAATTGAGGTTAAATTGAATGCCTATAACAGACAAACAACAGGTGCACACCTTCTGACCAATGAACTTCCGTTATTTGACCAGGATTTTAAAATAAATCATTTTTATGGAGACCCAAAAATGGGTTGCATTTCTGTTCTGATAAGGTCACGGACAGCAGTGGAAATAAGATCAAATTTAACCACATAATCATTCATAGTTAGGATAGTAAAACAAATATCTACTTCTCATATCTTTTTTTTTTTATCTTATATGGCATGCATCCATTCGTGTCAGTTCCAAAATGTTATATTGTGTATCTCTTGTTTGCTATCATTAATTATACATATATTCTGCATTGTATCAGCCACACTGCTGATGATAGCAATTCGGTGTAAATTGAGGTTAAATTGAATGCCTATAACAGACAAACAACAGGTGCACACCTTCTGACCAATGAACTTCCGTTATTTGACCAGGATTTTAAAAGAAATAATTTTTATGGAGACCCAAAAATGGGTTGCATTTCTGTTCTGATAAGGTCACGGACAGCAGTGGAAATAAGATCAAATTTAACCACATAATCATTCATAGTTAGGATAGTAAAACAAATATCTACTTCTCATATCTTTTTTTTTAAATCTTATATGGCATGCATCCATTCAAACTCTATTTTGGCACAAATTCATTGGTTAATCAGTAATATGGCTAATACTAATATGACTTAAAGATCTTAAGGATACTTGCAGGTTTTCCTAACTGTGGATTTCTAATTTCTTCAGCTTACTGTACTTTTTTTTTTTTTTTTTTTACATGTGCAGCTTAATATCTAATATTTTTCAAATCATGTTTATTTTCCTGATTTTATTGTTTGTTCTTGCTGTGGCGCATTTCATCTGTCTTGGAGTGTTTTATTGTGAGGCCTACATTTTTAACATTTGGTGACTAAATATGCAGGTATTTGCATCTTAAAGTGTCCCAGGTGTGTGTCTATAAACATACTTTTTACAAATAACTAACCATGCTAACCATGTTTAGTTAGCAGTAGCTGCCTGTTCACAAATGCACCTTTATATGATAGATGTTATAAAATAATCTAGTTATCTATAATGTATATCAACTATAAAGTTATCAATATTCTACGCTAAAAATAACCACCACATATTATTTTTTATTTATTGCATATTTTGTACTTTCTTTCTTCTTTCGGTCTTTTATTGGCTGGTATTGTCTTAAACCATAATGCATTTTTAAAAACAGAACAGAACTTCAAGCAACAAGATTGTTTATGTTCTTACAAAAAGGTCAAAAGTTTGGCTCCAAGTCACACAAAAATCAAGATTGATATTCAGCAACACACATAGGTACCCCATGAGCAAACAAATAATCAGAATAAAAATAGGCATAGAATTAAGCAACTGCATTTCTGATTCGCTTCTAACTCTCACCGGTGAACTAATGCTTCTGTGAAAAATAGGCAACCTATATAACAGTTTAAGCAGTGAACAACAGTAACACAAAATAGGAAATAATTAAACATCCATTCACACCATCCAGAAACAGACACAAATAAATAATTGTTTTACGCTGGTCCCAAAAGATCACAATATTAACCGACTGGTCTTTGCTTATATAATATTACATTAGAGTATCATGTATAGCCTGTGAACTTTCATCCAGCACCTTTTTGAGCAAGCATTGTGGAGCACTGTCTGTCTCTAAAACAGCAAACCGCTGGGGTAAATACAGGCCTGCAGTGCAGTTTTCTCATCTGAGTCTTGAAGAAAGATGGTCTCGGTGTATTTGTAACCATAATAGAGCTGATATGTGCTGTGCAAATGACCAAGAGAGAGCTGTAAATTCGGGTCTCATTCAAATAACCTTTCCCATGGAGACTTTCACCCAAAATATCACCATCTTTTTCTGAGTTTCGCCATCTCAGGTGAGATACAGAGGAAGAGACACAAATGGGGAGAAATTCTGTTCAGACTGAAACGTTCAGATCATGCATGACCAGTGGTACAACGAATAGATGCAGATACCCTGATGGATCACTTGTTTGGAGCCTTTAATAGTCACATCTTATTTCACTTGAGCACTTTGCAGTCATCTATCTCACACACAGCGGCGCCATGATGGTTACAGGACATATTGTGCAGGTTTGCTGCTGCTGCTCCGCTCGTGTTTTACTGGAAGACCTCTTTGTTTATCCACATGAGGCTGCGGGTCTCGTTGGGCTTGGCCTCGTACTCGATGCAGTTGAAGCTGTTGCCGAACTGGCAGTGCTCTCTCTTGTAGTAGTTGTAGTATTTCACTTGCCATACGGTTTCAAACATGCCGACATCTTTGAACTGGCAACAAAAAGAAGATAGAAACATTTTACAACTCAGTTCTTTTGTATATTCAATCAGTTGGCTGACTGATTTGTCTTTAGTTACAGAGGGGTGGTGCTTGCGTATCCATGCAAAATTAACACAATGCTTTGACACAGCAAAACAAAACATGTTACTGGTTAACTATCCATTTAAACATGGATATATACATGTACAGTAGCAAACTGACATAGATTTAGCTTGCAGTTTATTTTTTTGCCGATTTGCAATTATTTTATGTATTACAGGTATATAAATATATATATAAAATATAAAATATTTTTTTGAAGTTGTAAATAAAAGTTTAATTCATGTTTAAATGCTTGCCATTTCTTTGTAATCTTTTGTAAAATGTACTAGCAATTTCCGAGTGCGAGTTTCACCAAAAGTAAATCCTACAAAAAAAGTTTTTTTTTTCAGTGTGCAAACTTGCTTTCCATTTAATATAGTCTTGACATAATAAAATTAAAATATAAAACTGTAAACATAATTTTAAAGGTTGTCATACTTTGAAGTGTACTATTAATATACATCGTAAATAACAAAAATATTGCCCACATATATATATACAGGTATATATGCATATATATGTGTGTGTGTGTGTGTTTTGGCGATCTATAAGCACAAGACGTTATGTGTAGAAAGTGTAATAAAAGATGTTTTATCGAGTCTTAACATTCTTGACTTTTAGAAAATGGTATTTAACAATAGAATCTACAAATAAGCTATATTTTTAAAAAATCCCCACTTAAAATTTCCACCTACTGTACAGCTTAAGTTCAGTTGCTGTCTTAAATTTTATAGTATAATCAATCTGACTATAAAAAAATTTAGTTGAAATTGGTTAAATTATTTTGATGAGTTAAAGTAATGGGGAAAAAATTAATTTTGACATGATTTCTAGAGCCCTGGTAGTTGCCATGGTGTTTATATGAGGTTGCTATATGTTGTTGGTTTCTTATTGGTCCAGGTCAAAGAGCCCATCCCCAATCAACAGATATGACTTAAAAACTAGGATTTGATTGCCTGTTTTATCATCTGTCATCAGGTGCAAATCATATCTGATGGTGGGTTAAATGTTCTTAATTTTACAATTTTCAACGAAATTTTAAAAATTAATTGGCTTAAAAACTTTTTTAAAAATCAAACGAGTATTTTCACTATTGTCCCATATCATTTATTTGAAAAACTTGGGGGATTAAATTTTTTGTTGCAGTGTCCTTATATAATTGGCAAACTTCCCATTGCTTTGGCCAACTATCACAAACAAGCCTTACTTTACTGGTCACTTTTGTACAAACACAATTTTTCTCCTAGCAGGTGTTTTATATGGAACAATGGTAATATCACTCATAATAACAAGTCATTGTATATGAGAATTGGGTTCGGCATAACATATTTATTGTAAACCAGCTTATTGACAAGAATGGGCAATTATACACTTACCCTAATTTTATAACAAAATATGGCTTTTTTGTAAACGAAAAAGAATTTAACAGAGTAATCAAGGCTATTCCTAGTGGCGTAATAATTTTAACCAAATTCTCTGATGCCCTTTTTCTATTTCATTTTGGGTTGACTTTAAAATAGACATAACAAAAAAATTAAACAAAGGCCTTAATTTAGAACCTCATGATATTTTTCTTTGTTATCAAAACCCATCTTTTTCTGATAAACATATTTATATTATTAATCTGTTAATTATCTTAGCAAAGTTGTATATACATAAGTCAAAAGTCATTCAAAAGAAACCATCATATATTCCATTTTGTAACACTGATCTTAAAATATACTTTGAAACCCTTTCTAATATGAGATCACAAAATAAGAAGCTAATAAAAAAAATACAAATTCTAAAGATTTTTAAAGTTATGCAACTGCCCTAATGTATGTATTATTATTTTCAAAAGTGTTGCGTTTATAATTTTGTTCAGTGTATATATATATGTTTGTATTAATTTTGCGTTGTTGTTGCTGTTGTTCTGTTTTGCATACTTTGAGATGTGCAACGTTTCCCTGTTTGCATTGTGCCTTTGTGTGATGGAACTGAATAAAGGGGGGGGGGGGGGGGGAGTCTTGCAAAGTAACAGAAGCACAACCTTCTCAGTAATTTGAAGCATCATTTAGGTCAATAGCCAAAACAGTGCGGTACCAATTACAAGTGAAATCTAATGCTTATATAGGCTGAGTTTAGCGTCAAATCCCTAATCCTCAGTATGAACAATTTAGCATCTAGCAATTCCACGTGACTTCATAATGAATTCTATTTTATTCTATTCTATTCCGAATCCCGGCTGGGCTGTGTTACCTCTATGGAGACCTGCACAGGTTGTCTGTCCCCGCTCTTGGTGTGTGGCACTCCCTCAGTGTCGTAGTTGCCATTGTAGACGATCTGCTCCTCATCTTTGGACTGCTGCTCCAAAGGGAAGCTCTTTCCGCCGATTCCCATTGTGCTGAAATCCCATTGAAACAAGCGTCAGACTATCTGAACAGACACACATCTGAAATTCCTTCTGTCAATTAAACATTAAAGGCTCGTGCACTCGTAACGCATCCCCATGGCTCAGTTTTACAGCGTTTCTAAATAACGCACGCTACTGCGCAAATCGCCTTTAGTTAAATCACATATACGATGTATTTAATTTCTTACAGGAGCGCAGGTGCACCTTTCGACCTCAGGATTGCGGAAAAACATGGAGTGCTAAGAGCTATTTATATGCAACCACCTATAATATCAGAAGCATATAAACAGGGCCAGTTCAACCGCGTATTCGACTTACGTGGCCTCCGCACTACCCGGCTTCACGATCACCTCGATTTTGTATTTCGATCCTGTCAGCAATTTGATTGTCCTGCTCTGGCCGAACCTCGTCCCGTCCACTTTATAAAACACGGGTCCGTCATTGGGTTGGATTTTCAAGGAGATCGCGATGTTTATTATCGCTGGAACGTCGGCCATGCTTGCGAGATAACGGAGGTCGATGTATTTCCAGGGCTCCCCGTGATTAACGGGATGGCGGATGGTCCCAGGAAGCTGTTGAGAGATGCTGTGACGTCTACACAAGCCATCACACCCATTTTAACCATGCAGCATAGATCAATGCATATGCATATGGCTAAACTGTGCTCATATAATACACCAATGGCCATTAGTCTCGCGTAACGCACACTAAAATAGGCACTGCTATTCTCGATTGTTTGTTTATGTATTTTAGTCATGTGTGTTGTATTTTAGGATTCAAAAATATTGTAAATAGTTTATTAAGCCATAGATTTAGATCCTAATCCCACTGTGTTAGCGTCCATCTCCGTTACCCTCGCGATTAAAAACAGTCCCTGTCCAAAGTGCTGAAACGGAAGAACTTCTCTAATGCTACCGCATGCAGTACTGGGCCATTTTTTATAATACATGAAAAAAGTACATTTTAAATGTACTAAACGCAAAGCACTGCTATTACGTGTTTAGTGCGCTTGAAATGTCAATAAAACATTAATATAATTACCTAAATTAATTATAAACCTATTTTTAATAGGCTGTGTTGATGTTTTTTGAAGAAGTATATACATGTTTACGTGCATTTTTGTCTTTCCAGAAAGCTTTGCAACAAACAGTAGTTATATAAAAACATTAGTTCTAATTAAAACAGTATGTGTGTGGATTTTTAATGGTCAGTCAGACTAATAATAGTGTCCTTTTAAATTACATTCATGCCATTTTAAATACCGGTAATATAATGAAGAGGAATATTCATAATTTGATTAATCAGATAAGCAGGCAAGTTATATTCTCATTTAACATTCATAATAGTTTTATCTCACAGATTCCTCCATTATGAGTTCATAAGGAATAGTTCTCGCAAAAAAATTTAATTTTCTGAAAATGTACTCACTCTCAGGCCATCCGAGATGTAGATGAGTTTGTTTCTTCATTAGGACAGATTTGGAGAAATTTAGCATTATATCACTTGCTCACCAGTGGATCCTCTGCAGTGAATGGGTGCCGTCAGAATGAGAGTTTTTTTTTTTTTTTGGCATTTTGCTACATTGGAAGTGTCCAACTCCACCCTCAACTACATATTGGTTAAAATATATCTTGTCTTTCCTTTCTCTAGAAAACAACAAAAAGTACACTATTCAGGGCTCAACTGTTAAATTCTACAAAATTTGGAATCCCATTCTAAATTTCTTTGTCTCTTTGACCTCACTAGATTCTGATTGAGTTTTTCAGTGTGTGAGCATGTTTACATTTATGTACAGTATAACATGGTTGTGTATATACTTCTGCATGTATATTTGTTTTTTCCCCCTTTCTCTCTTCTCTCATTTGAATACATACTTTATTATTATATACATTTCATAGATTATTATATTTATCTCATATATATAGTATTATTATATTAATGCAGTTTCCTGTCAATCCTCCTGAGGGGTCTATGGATGGGGGAGGTAATGTGTTAGTTTCGGTCTGATTCACTTTTTCCCCCCCCTTTTCTCTCTTCACCTACAGTTTTGACTGTAATTCGGAGTTAAACATGGAGATGATATAGAAAAAAAATGCAGACAATGTTCTCTTCACTGTATTGTTCTGTGTTTTATATCTGTCAGTGTAATAATAAAACCTGTGGAACAAAAAAAAATCTATTTTTTAAAAATGAAATAGCCTTTCCATTTACACAGTGCTAGTTCATGCATACTGATTTCTGTATGAATACTGTATGAAAAAAGGCATTTTTACACTGCAAAATTGGTGCTTTTAAATGTAACAATATTTCTATATTGCTTTAAATGATTATGTGGTTATAAAGACATATGCATTTTACAGATAGCAGCAGAAATGGAAAGAAAGGCCAGCGCTGAAGAGGGAAGTATAGCATTAGGACACATAATATTCATTAATATATTAGCTTTGATATAATAATATTTGCATGATTTAAGGCAAAACACTTTTTGGCAGTGACTCTAAAAATCAAATAAATTAACAAAAATCAATACTTAAATCAAAATGTGCACAGTTTTGTTGATCTATACGAAAAGAGCGAAGAAAAGATCTATAAAATGATTCCATCATATAAAACCTTATTTTCCATTACAGTCTCAAGCAAATTACAACTAAAACAACTAAAATGTTCGGTAACAAAAGCCACATTATCATGTATTCTGGCCGCCACAGTCTTTGAACTTTTTTGCAATACCGATTATAAAATGATTTGCCCAGCAAGTGTTTCAGTCATAGTGCTTCCATTGTAGACACAGCTGATATATTTATATATCCCAAAAGTCTGTCTCTGCTCTATCTATCCAGTTCCGCCTCTAGTATCTCTCCCCAGGTCTCCACGTCCAGTGGACACATGCTGTTGGGCGGGATATCATCAGCAGAGCGGATGTTACTGTATCGGCCATTCAGCCACCTCCGCTTTACGCAGCCTTTCCTGTAGTTACGCACAAGAGTAACCTGGAACAAAAAAGGAAAGGTAAATAAGAAACAACCAGCAGAGATGGGAACAAAATGAAGCAGAATTTTAACAGCAATAACACAAACCTTCCATGAACACCCAACAAGCCTGTCCCCATCCACCTCCCTTCGGCAAATGGCCAGCACTGTAAGACAGTGGCTCCTCCACAGCTGATCGCTGCCCTCGATTATATCATTCCAGTGTCTGCAGGTGAGCGAGGCCCGGCACAAACTCTTGACATCCAGCTCACTGAAGATCCTAACACTCATCTCTGTAGGAAGGGTCTCTGTAAAGTTCTGCTGAAGTGGATCCTGGTCACCAGGGATCAAGTTGGATGCTCTATCTCGGCTGAAGATTGCGCTGTTGCTCCTTTTACAGACATTCTGCATCTCTCAGCGTCCTAGAACAGTTTCAGTTTTGTTTTCATCGAGTCCGACACCAGTTATTTGTATGACAGAACATATGTGACCCTGGAGCACAAAACCAGTCTTAAGTAGCAAGAATATTATTAGTAATGAAATTTTGCATGTCTCCATAAACAAGAAAAACCAAATGACATCAAATGTGGAATATGAGGACCCACTGCCACATTTACGGTATAATACGTAAAGTTCTGATGTTTTTTTGTGTATGTATGCTTAAATGCAAATTTTCTGAAAATGTACTCACTCTCAGGCCATCCGAGATGTAGATGAGTTTGTTTCTTCATTAGGACAGATTTGGAGAAATTTAGCATTATATCACTTGCTCACCAGTGGATCCTCTGCAGTGAATGGGTGCCGTCAGAATGAGAGTTTTTTTTTTTTTTTGGCATTTTGCTACATTGGAAGTGTCCAACTCCACCCTCAACTACATATTGGTTAAAATATATCTTGTCTTTCCTTTCTCTAGAAAACAACAAAAAGTACACTATTCAGGGCTCAACTGTTAAATTCTACAAAATTTGGAATCCCATTCTAAATTTCTTTGTCTCTTTGACCTCACTAGATTCTGATTGAGTTTTTCAGTGTGTGAGCATGTTTACATTTATGTACAGTATAACATGGTTGTGTATATACTTCTGCATGTATATTTGTTTTTTCCCCCTTTCTCTCTTCTCTCATTTGAATACATACTTTATTATTATATACATTTCATAGATTATTATATTTATCTCATATATATAGTATTATTATATTAATGCAGTTTCCTGTCAATCCTCCTGAGGGGTCTATGGATGGGGGAGGTAATGTGTTAGTTTCGGTCTGATTCACTTTTTCCCCCCCCTTTTCTCTCTTCACCTACAGTTTTGACTGTAATTCGGAGTTAAACATGGAGATGATATAGAAAAAAAATGCAGACAATGTTCTCTTCACTGTATTGTTCTGTGTTTTATATCTGTCAGTGTAATAATAAAACCTGTGGAACAAAAAAAATCTATTTTTTAAAAATGAAATAGCCTTTCCATTTACACAGTGCTAGTTCATGCATACTGATTTCTGTATGAATACTGTATGAAAAAAGGCATTTTTACACTGCAAAATTGGTGCTTTTAAATGTAACAATATTTCTATATTGCTTTAAATGATTATGTGGTTATAAAGACATATGCATTTTACAGATAGCAGCAGAAATGGAAAGAAAGGCCAGCGCTGAAGAGGGAAGTATAGCATTAGGACACATAATATTCATTAATATATTAGCTTTGATATAATAATATTTGCATGATTTAAGGCAAAACACTTTTTGGCAGTGACTCTAAAAATCAAATAAATTAACAAAAATCAATACTTAAATCAAAATGTGCACAGTTTTGTTGATCTATACGAAAAGAGCGAAGAAAAGATCTATAAAATGATTCCATCATATAAAACCTTATTTTCCATTACAGTCTCAAGCAAATTACAACTAAAACAACTAAAATGTTCGGTAACAAAAGCCACATTATCATGTATTCTGGCCGCCACAGTCTTTGAACTTTTTTGCAATACCGATTATAAAATGATTTGCCCAGCAAGTGTTTCAGTCATAGTGCTTCCATTGTAGACACAGCTGATATATTTATATATCCCAAAAGTCTGTCTCTGCTCTATCTATCCAGTTCCGCCTCTAGTATCTCTCCCCAGGTCTCCACGTCCAGTGGACACATGCTGTTGGGCGGGATATCATCAGCAGAGCGGATGTTACTGTATCGGCCATTCAGCCACCTCCGCTTTACGCAGCCTTTCCTGTAGTTACGCACAAGAGTAACCTGGAACAAAAAAGGAAAGGTAAATAAGAAACAACCAGCAGAGATGGGAACAAAATGAAGCAGAATTTTAACAGCAATAACACAAACCTTCCATGAACACCCAACAAGCCTGTCCCCATCCACCTCCCTTCGGCAAATGGCCAGCACTGTAAGACAGTGGCTCCTCCACAGCTGATCGCTGCCCTCGATTATATCATTCCAGTGTCTGCAGGTGAGCGAGGCCCGGCACAAACTCTTGACATCCAGCTCACTGAAGATCCTAACACTCATCTCTGTAGGAAGGGTCTCTGTAAAGTTCTGCTGAAGTGGATCCTGGTCACCAGGGATCAAGTTGGATGCTCTATCTCGGCTGAAGATTGCGCTGTTGCTCCTTTTACAGACATTCTGCATCTCTCAGCGTCCTA